GACCAAGCGCTGTACCACTGCCCCGACTTTGAAAAAAGATCACCAGATTCTCCAGTGTGCCTCGAGGAGACTGGATGATCCTCCCCACACTAAGGAGAAGATATTAGATGCCGAGTTTTTAGGTACATAGGCCAAGAAAGCTGCACGAGCGCTTCTACGATTATTGAAGGCAACACCATTGTGACCACTTGGGAACTCTGTACTAATTGTGTTGTGCGCATTGTGCATCTCCTTCTCTCTCTTTGTATCTCTTTTTAACTCCACAATTTTTCTTTCTCCATGCATAGGGTGGCAAACTGGACGTAGTCTAGTTAATAATAACAACAACAATAATGATAATAATAATAATAATAATAATAATAATAATAATAATATAATAATAATAATAATAATAATAATAATAATAATAATAATAATAATAATAATAATAATAATAATAATAATAATAATAATATTTCAATAATAATAGTATTAATAATACTTTTTATTTCTTCAAATAAAACAGTACATTTGTTTAGGCCTGCCAAAGGCAATTGGTGACTTCAGTGGCAGAGCCTGGCAGACAGTCAACCTATCTTTCTTTATCATTTCTGTAACTCTTATAAAAAATGGTCGAAACATTTGCAAAATAATATATATACTTGTTCTCTCAAGGATCGAAAAGTTGCGTGTTCACTGGCGCTGTTGCTTCCGAAATCTGTACGAGAAAATTCTGTATAAAAATGCGATATATAGGCAGAGGCGCATTTGCATGACAATTATAAAACAGAATGATATGTGGTGATGATCTCTGTGCTCAAACGACCACAGTCTGTGCCTCGTCATCCTCCAGAATGGCTGACACGTCTTCACGCTTCACGACGTTCTGATAAGCGACTGCGACATCACAGCGTATGTATACGTCGCCGACGGGGCTACACAACCAGGCTGCCGATCTTGGAAGATGAGCATTTCATTGCTACCAAGACGAAGGTAAGTTCGGCAAACTCGTGTACTGCTGCAATTATTTGATTAAAAAAACTGTTACCTTATTATGTTGGAATTCGTACTTTGCCAAATACGCCATCCCAAAAGTCCAGTCAATACTGACAGCAAACCTACAAATGAAGCACGAAGCTTGATACGACAACGTTGTTTTGAAAAGAAAGCCATGTCGTAGAGCAATCATCGCGCTTCAGGAATGTCGATGCGCTTTATAGCGCTTACAGATGTCTCTTCGAGTACATAAAATTTGGGCAAAGTACGCGTTAGAGAAAAAAAATACAGTGGAGCTGGTGGTCTTCCTGTTTTCCTTTTTCTTCTGCTTACTCTCAAACTACTCCAGTTTTATGCCCCACTTTCATTTTACCCCCTCCCTTATTTATGCCAAAGAAGACTCACCATGCTGTGCAGTGTCACCTCCTTCAGCGTGGTCATGACAGGACTATTCTATGGTAATTTGTCGTATTTATGGCAATAATTATGATTATTTCATTTTGATGGCAATCATATATATATATATATATATTGGGGGTCAGTGAGCCAAATTTTGCATGGCCAGGCCAGCAACGTTGAGAGCAAGAACCGCCTTTAATGCGCGACTCAAAATAATCACGGACAGCCTTCCGGACCGGCTCAACATAGCACTACTAACGCACGCAGGAGGACCGAAAACCCAGAGACAACAAACCCCGCAAACTGGCGGTCAATCGAACATGCGCAGTGAAACAACGGCAGGAAAGCCAGCACGAAACATAACAGCAAAAAAGAAAACTCACCTGCAAGTCACCATGAAATACGGGCCATCTACTCGCCTTATTCGCAATCTCCACGGCCTATAGGTGGCGCGCCGTGCAATCCAAGATGGCTGCGGAAGGATCATCGACCCCGTGAAGTCACATAGGAAAAGATAGGACTCGCGGACGTACTTCTTATGTCGCTTTTACCGGATGTACTCTTGATCGTGAAATGAACGTATATCTAACCAAAGTACTTTCCCAACCAATAGGAAGTGTTGAATGTTCGCTACCTCATTTCTCGCCGCAGTGCAAGTAGTGGTGGTGTCAGCTGATCGACCGTGTATCGACGCCACTTTGCGTAATTTTGTGCGTGCTACAGAAAAGTGCGTGAACCAGAATTCGCATATGAACTGAACGACAATTCGCGATCATTTGTACCGAGCCTGCCTGGCGGATTTGTCGCAGTAATATGCCAGTAGCGAATAGCGTGGCGTCACGGCTGCACTGGAATGAATGTATATTGTAGCGAAGGTTTGCAAACATATTACGCCATCGTTACTTGCTCTGTAAGCATCATGCAGCTACTTCTTCAACGAAACACAAGCATTTACCGTCCCATTGAGTAGCACTTGGGTCACAACCATGATCATACCCTAACATTACGCAATTCCATGCACTTGGATGTTACAGCTTTCATCAGCGCGATGAAAACAAGGATAGCGAAACGAACACACGCGTACGCTTTTCTGAACGTCAAAACTGCAAAAATTTGTCGCACAACAACGTCGTTCGGATGGCACCAGGGAAGCGTAGAAGTTAGTGTTGACTGTAGTCGTAACTGCATATTTCATTGATCTAACCATTTCGCTTTAATGGTCGAGCTCAAGCGTGTTGGTGGCATGCGGCTTTTTGTAATATCCACTGTAATCGGGATACATTCAGTGCGCAAGAAAAAGATTGCTCTTATTTTGAGCTCACTAATAGATATTATACAATAAATACGATCAATACAATAATATCTCAATAGATATTATACAATAAATACAATCAAATTGACTTACGAGAGTGAAAAAACATTAACGCATGATGGGACGTGAAGTGCAACTCTCTGCTCGTGAGCTAGCAGCTGATTGTTCATCGTCGTTGTCACTCTCAGTTCTTTGACAACCATCTACGTCCAGTGAAAAATCCTCGATGTCAAGATGATTTCTTCGAACATCAGTGCTGAAAGTAATCTGAAGAATTCTTTCCGCCGAAGGACATCGATAGCACCAACAACGCTTCATTGCACAACCTGAACACGATGTCACTCACCATGTTTACATGGGAGTGTGCAGATCACTTCGCTTCGGTGCCCGGCAAAAAAGGAATCGCTTGCAGTGTGCCGCCATCTACCAACGAACGTTAAAAACAAGCGTTGCAGCATAGGCTAAGGTTTGGAAAAGCAAATCGCCAGTTTGCGCTAGTTTCCGCACACAATGAATGTTATCGAATTCGTGCATTACAAAAGCACTGATGAATGCTATACGCACGTAAAACACAACGAGTTTCAACTGAATTAGTTAGGAATTACCGTTTACCTGTCCAATGTGGCCGCAGAAAATCTCGCGAAGCTGATATGTGTATTCTGCGGGCTATAATTGAAAGCGTGAGTTGCCATGCATTTTCACAAAAACTTCGCGTCTCGCAAGAACGAATCAGATTTATTGTGCCACGGACAACCCAGTATATTCACTGATGCGCGAAACATACAAAGTGGTTTGCGTTCGTTTCTTGCGAATGTGTTAACACTGCGGCTACCGCCGCCGAACAAGGCATCATTGGGAGCATCTGCCTGCTGATCATCCATGAGAGGACGCTCCTGAATTCCGCTAGGCTGTGCGACCGTCTATGATCATTGCGAAAAGCCGCTGCCCCCGAAACCGGCGAGGCCTCGTTTCTGTAGCACGCACGGAGGAAACACTCCTCGCGCCTACCGTGACCGACACCGTATCCTATCACTCACCTGCCACCGGAAAAGCCCCCGAGCTCATCGCGCACCCCTTCTTATCTGCCCGCCACTCTTCCGCCACCTGTGGCTGCAGATAAGGGCTCATCGGCCATACGGGGAGCATGCTCTAGCCTCCTCTCTCTGTGGAGAGAGTATCTTCGTTCCTGTCAGAGTCGCCAGTGCACGCGATTATGAATATCTCGTGTGCAATAAAAAATAGGGGGGGGGAGGCACCTATGGTTGCCGCGTTATCGCGAGAACAATAAGAGCGTAGCTTGTGCTCTCACAGTGGATGGGAGCTTCTACGGGTTGAGCTCTCAACACGAAAAATGGTGTCAAAAGTGTACCTGGAGCAACCGTGTTCTCTTAGAGCAGCATTTGGTAGAGTTACGTGAGACCGAATCTAAATGAGTTGACCGCCAGCCTCACTTCGCATATCAACGCCGCCACTTCGTGCCAGCCTTGTGGTGGTCATCGAGCATGGCCACGCCACAGGAAACTTGGTTACTTAACAACTACATGTTTACTAAAACTAATATTGCTCCCTAAATGCTAGCATTCGCTTTGTAAAGCATTCGAATATGTTGCTACCACATTCATTGCTTCGCCCTTTTGGCGACACTGTGTCTTTTTCATTATATCTCTCGAACGAGGTGTTGTCATTAACTTCAATTAGTAAGCTTATAGTGGTTTTTGTTGCAACATGCGCCTTTCTTTTCTTTTTGTTACAGAAAAGTGAAAAACAATTCACGTTTGCCATGAACATTTAGAACCTAGAACGCGGCAGTGCCTACATGTATGACTGGTTACAACTCTTTACAGCTATCAGATGCGCGAACAGTTTCAAGTGACCTGCATGAAACCAAAACATATATTATTTGATATAATAAAAGACCTGTTGTATGATGCGGACTTCTAAGGGCTCCACATGTAACAAATATCTTTCAGCAAGAAATAAAAGCTTTGCGTGTAGCCAGAAGCCGATAAACAATTTCCGCTGCTTCGCAGCACTATTCAGACTGACGGGCAATGTCAGATGAACAAAAATATTGTGAATCGTTGTGTGAGCAGAGTCTTGTTTGAAAGAAAAAAAAAAGCCATTGAGAAAGGTAGCGATTTCCCGGAATCAGCAAGGCCGACACCTGGACTAGACCCGGAGCCAACTCTGTGACGCTATTTTGAAAAATAAGGCATAATTCATTATCATCAGATGAACAATATCGCTTTGTTAAATTTACCGGTACATAACAGTCACGGGCCTGTGTAATTGGAATAGTTACTCCGTTATTTCCTCACACGCTACTCTGGTTACAAAGCTAAGGCATCTTTATGAGGACATATTTTCTGCTATCATAACATATATATTGAAGGACCGTACATATATTGAAGGGCCGTACCTGATCCTAACCTCAAGTCGCCGGGACAGCAACGCTTCAGTGGGAAGTGGTACATTGTTTTACTGCATCAAATTATTGCCTCATTAGCAATGGTTACTCGCCTTCCATAACCTAAGCGATTCTCAGAGTAACTACATCAGTTTTTTTTTCACTGCACTGAAGACAAGTCCTTCTAGCAAAATGCCTGGTGTGTTTAGGGGCAATATCTGTTGAGTATGCGCGTAGTGAGAAATTCGTTGTGCTTGAGTGTAGAAAGTTTTCTCACAGCATACTGCCAGGCTTAACTTGTTACTGTTTGTAATGCCTCCTTGTACAAGTAGGTATTGCCTTTCTTACGTTATAAAATTTATGAATAAAGCATTGCAGAATATACGTTTTAGTGTGAGGGCTGGCAGCCTAGCTACGGGTACAATCATTGGGCCAATAAAGCTTATGCAACTCAACTCACCCTAATAATACAGTATAGACTCCTAATCAGTGATATGTATTCAGTGCGAGAAATTTTTTTAGATAAAAACATCAACTTTTGTGACATGGTGTAATATCAGTGTCAGCGCATTCTAATGAATAAAATAATACAGAAGCATTCGAAATCATCGATCTATCGTGGGCATTTACGTGAGGAATACATAACACAGTACCACGAAAGAACAATAGCTAAATGCTGGAAACCTGAATGAAGCGCAATTGAGCCAGTAAATGAATCCAGGCAGAGCTTTCAGATTTTCTGCCACAGTAAGCATTTTTGTCTCTCTAAAGGCAGTTGGTATGTAGGAAACTGAAAGTTCTGCTGAAAATTAACGGAAGAGCACCAAAAATTTATAGTATACATTCAATGGACCATTTAGTAAGTTTTCACTCATTAAATCGCGAATTAACTTCGCCACAAGTATACCTATACTACACATCTGAAGAACAAAATAGTGTTGTTTTAATAACCTAGCGACGCGGCCACCAATCACATATATAATACCGTGTAAAAGCAGCCTCACGGACGCATCGCTAATATTCATGCCCGTAACCGTATTTCTTCGGGAAGAAAGGGTCCTTAACCACCTTTTACGTATCTTCTTGCACGTGTTTTACGTGTGCGTGTCCACTATACCTATTTGAACCTCCAAATTGAAAAAAGAAACGAAATCAAAGTGGTATGCATCCAGAAGGCTCCAAGATGGTTTATACTATTTATATACCGTAGGCCAGCAAGCAGCTACACTTGAAAATGTGGCAGATCCCACGTACAATCGCCAATATGTAAAGCGCGATTGAGAAAGGTTGATATGTCGCTTTAAAATTAGGACAACTTTATGAAGCACACTTAAATTATGCTGTACATGACTCTCCTGACATGATTATCACGCATGTCCTATTTAGACGTGTCCTCTACCTTCATCGTCGATTCATGTCACGTGATGTCTAATTTTGTAAATGGGGAGCGAGAGAAACGGTCGCGAAAACGCTATGAGCGTAGCATGTAGTCATGTTTTACATGACAGGCATATAATTATTATCATGTTTGGACCCATAACATACCTTCGTCATCCGTTCACGTACCGTTCCTTACAAAAATCCTATATATGGACTTATATAAAAATCCCCATATATGGCTACATCAGGAATTGGGCATATCTGGCTTTATTTGGAATCCCCATATATGGGCTCTATATAATCTGATATGCCCAAATCCTGATATAGCCATATATGGGCCTTATATACTCATATATGGGTGTTGCTGTACATGGCCACATATGGCTATATATAGAAGCATCCATATAAGGTCTTATATGGATGCTTTCCTATATGGCCTTATATGGATACCTTTATATAAAGCTATTCAGATGATTCATCTATATTTGTTCAGCTTGTGTCACCGGCAAAAAATATAGCTGCTCATATCATTCTTCAGCTAGAAATATAGCTGTTTGTTGAAAGGTCTGCATGCACTCAGCATCATCTCCAAAACAAAGACAGTACACACCCCCTGAACATTCTCGTTCAATTAAGTTATCCTCATTATATCTCGAGTAATTCTCAATCACTAATTGCTAAAAATGTAACTTGGCATCATATTTAAAGATTGTGGTGGGCACATGTCACTGTTAGTCCACTTTTCCTGAAGAGAAACATTCTTTGTGCTTAAATTTATTGCTTACTTATCGACACTTTTTTATTTATCTATTAATTTCATTACCCACAGCACCAATTGGCATTACAGTGGGAGAGAGTTTACGAAAAGCAGAATGCGAAAAATACATAGTCAGCCAAACAAATAATCAATGTCACCTGAATCACAATCTGCAAGAGAAATTCATATATAAATCGGAAAATGTGACACACCCGAAAAATGCAACGCACTAATTCTAACATGAAATATAACAAATATTTGAGAGAGTAGAGGCAATGCTAGAAGGCAGTTGGTTCCATCTTGTAACTTTTTTGGTAAAAAATCATTTTGAAATACGTCAGTCTTGCATGCGATTTTTCTTATCTTGAACCTATGGTCAACACGGTCTGAGACATAGTTCGGTGCAACTAAATGTTCCCCTTTATCGATTCCCACTTGACAAAAATAAATAGCATAAAAGAAGCCAATTTGAGTTTCGTAAAGGTATTTTTCACAGTGTGTTTATTTAAAACTTTTCTCGCGTGTCAATGGAGCATCCATAGTCAGTCAAAACGAAATATTGACTTGCTGTTGACCGTATGAACTGCGTGTGCATTGAATAACTTAAATGAGTTGATAATCAAGTTTTAAGGAGTTTGGTCAAAAGTGATTGGTATGCAAGCTTGTCATGTACAAGTATTGTGACTAATGGCCTAGAAAACGACTACTAAAACTGGTGATTATAGGTCTCTGTGCGCGTGAGAACGGAGGCTTTTAGCAATATTTCTTGCCAACGGGACACTAAAAAATGTACTTTGTAAACGTAACCCACTTTCCGTTCTGTAAATACTGCATCATAACAGCGGTAAAGAGCTCGTTCCGCAGAAATTCCGGCGGAGGCATCGGTGGCTCTCAGTGAAAAATCGTCTTGTCCATGATCGAAAATTGAGAGATTGCAAATAAAACATATATTACAAATTTTTGGGTTTGAGTGATGATCGAAATCATGCAGGCCATTTGCATGGCAAGCAAGTGCTCTACCACATAGCTACGCATCTGCTTAGAAATAAAGCAAGAATAAGTTCCTCTTGTTGAAAATGCAAGGAAAATAACTGTCATGCTTAACAAATACACGCATTCTGAATACAGGTTTCACAGCACACATTTATTATCGCAACAAAATTGCTTGACACTAGCGTGCATTGTCATCAGGCATCACAACACGTTATTACCAACGTGACTTCGCTGTCTAAAGTCAGCCAACCATTACAAAAGGCACAGACGTTACTGCGCGTATTCACTCACGACTGCGTAGTGGGTGCATAAAGTTTTAAAGCATTTCATTCACATAATATTGAGAAGCACGTTCTGCTGGGTGAGTTGGTACTTCATCTTAACTTAGTTTCGCGAAAAAATTTGAAGTGCGAAAGGAAGACACCTGGACACAGTGCACACTGACAACTGAAACTTTATTGGAGCAAACAGACATATGTATGTGGTTACGAGAACACGTGAGGTGGAAAAAATGATTAGATGAGCAGACATCTAATCATTTTCTTTCACCGTGGGGACATCGTGTAGTTTACGGCCCTGCGCTGTCGTGTGGGAAGTATTATTTAGGGTTCCGTAATATAATTGTAGATCACAAAGCTTCTCTAAAGGGACAACCATTCTCTAACCAATCATCATATTGTAGAGAGTGTGGCTGCGCGCCCTTGTTTGGTGATATGATAGTTAAAGCTATATTCAGTGACACGGTAGCGCGGGAAATCGAAGAGGTGTATTTTGTAAACAAAGCTGCGGAATCATGTGTCACGTAACTCTCGCTTATGTTACTTGCTACTGAGGTAGCTTTTCTGGAAGCGTATCATTTATACAATCTGCCTGCTCATCTAATCAATTTGTTTCACCGCAGGTGTTCTCCTAACCGCATATATATATTTCTGTTTTCTCCAACAAAGTTTCAGTCGTCCGTGTGTGCTGTGTCTAGGTATCTTCCTCTTGTATTTCAATTTTTTCGCGCAACTCAGTTTACATTATATTTCTAGTTCTTTAAACTATGCTACCCCTTTTTTACACACAATGCTGCCATGTGCAAAACCTTCATTGAGACACTTTCAACATTCTCAATCGCACAGTACTATTTCACAATTAAAATTGTTCAAGTAGCATCATGCAATAAAGAGTACACACTGAGTGATTGAACTACGCACAAGAAACAGGATCGATACTGCTATCACGTTCAACTATGAAAAGCAGAGTTTAATGGTCACCAGTTTTTTCACACAGTGCGAAGCCCTGGTGCATCAGACCAGTTTATTTGTCGGCTTGCGTAAAACTATCTGCAGTGCTCAGGGATTGAAACTTGACATCACATTATTTTGTGTAACTATGTATGCGGGTATGCACAGTTCCTCAAGATAACCACGCGATGTTGCGACATCAGTAACGATAATGTTGCCTGTGATGTACGCATTCCAGTCAAATTTACACTTATATCACCCTGATTGTAGATGGTGGAAACAAAATTACGGGCTATTCCTAAGTTTTCCCGTTTGGATCCGTGACATTGCACCCTGCTTTGAAGAATCAAACTAGCAACAAAATTTTTACTGCGTATCCTTATCAAAACACACGTAATTATAAAAACAAGTGGAACGTAGACGAAGAAAGATAAATTCAAACGCAAGACAAATTCAAACGCGGGCTCATAAATCTCATGACACCCTTGGAGTTGGAGATATGCAACTCTTTTTTATTTGTGATTGCGCAAGTTGTAATTTATCCTTGGTAATTCCTCAAGCGTTAAAATTAGAAAAGTACAACACAAGTATATTTATATCAATATATTTATAAAAGTACAATGGCACGAAACCCATATTTTCCTGGCGTAGATTTTTTGATTAAATAGAGCGCTGTCTGGATCAAGTGAAAAAAAGAAAGTG